TTTAATTCCTTTCCACCTGGTGAGTCATCCCTCCATATCCAGACCCCTCAGAGCACTACAGTAGAAAGTGGGAGTGCAGTCTTCTACACTGGGTTTTGCATCGCACACTTTTTTGGGAAGCTGTGTTGTGGCTGATAGGAAGTTCCATTATCAAAGAGTTATAATAAAGCTCAGGGTGCCAGCTGTTGTATTGTGGGAGACGGTTGGCTGTAAATCAACACAAAGTCCTGTATTGTGTGGGGTATGGTGAGGGATTTTGAGACTTCAGAAAGCACAGGATACTCCCCTGCCCCCAACACACGCACACACACACACACACACACACACATACACTCCTCCCCTCTAGCACTCTCACACTGGTCCTCTACTCACTGACCACTGGTGTACTGAGACTGATAAGATGCATATCTTGTGAAGAAAGTGCTCTGAAGCTGGATTACCATCCATTAAACTGATGATCACCTGAAATGCGAGTTTCTTTCTTGGCCGCAGTTAAACCTAATATTACTCACTAGGATCAGAATCATAAGATGGGAGCATGTGGCAACACAAGACTCAACTTCTTAGCATGAGTGCTCTTTGATAGGCTAATGTAGGACAAAGATTTGATTCCACACCACAGGGTATCACCATCTAGTGGAGCTTTTGGGAAGCACAGTGTTGACATTCATACCAGCCCAATGTCACTGCTTAAATCTCTGCAGATCATTCCTTGTAGCCTGTATGTTGCAGTTCCTCTTTGTCTGCCTATATCAGTATACAAGCTCAAATGAATCACAGGATTGCAGTCATGCCTATATTTCTGTATATTCTATATCTTTGTCGACAGTAAGATGATTTTACTGATTTTAGCAACAAAATACTTTATTTCGGCTATTTGATACTCTGTGCTTTTACCTCCAGTGTGTCATCATGTTCTTCAAGCCAGAGTTTTAAATGCACAGCAAATCCTCAGCACAAGCATTACCAAACAATTCAATTTTAGTAAGTGTCAAATGATGTAAATGAACACTAGATGGCAGTGTGTAATTAAACACCAGCCACAATGCAGCACTTCAGAATTAAGCAATGAACATATTTTGCTTTTTTTTAGCCCAGTCAGATGCTGATATCCTAAACTACACACTGATAATAAGTTTTCAATACGAGAAATGAAAATGGCAGTAAGAGGTCAAGTGTATTTCCAGTTCTTAACTCATGCATGTGTGTGCTCAAGCAGCCAGTTTCAGATGCAGAATGAGTCAGCACTCTGATTTCCCATTAATATTCACATCACTGGGATGTACTAGGAACATTCAAACTTTTCAAACTTCCAGAGGAACCTCCAATAAATCAATGGTAACAGAATTCTCCAGCGCTTCTTCGTGGGCATCAGGCTACGCACTCAAATAAGAGGCAGAAGAGGAGGAGCCGTGTGCAGTGCAAATGCTCAGAGATTTGAAAATCTTGGTCATAAGAAGGGAAATGTTTGATCATGCCATAATTAGCAGAAATAGCAGTGTGCATATTCACAGACTGCATTGTCAGGATGGCAGGGATCAGCTGGTCAATTTGTATGCAAATAGGGTGAGGCTTAGCCTGGCTAGCACTGTACAGCCCTTCTCCCAGGAAGAGCTATTTTAAGAAAGATTCTCAACAAAAATATAGACACTAAGGTAAAAACACATATATATCTCTTCATTTTGAACAACATATTAACCCAGGTGTCACACTGTATGCAGAATTTAGAATCTGTTTTGGTCTACTACCACCTTTTGGGCTATTTTCAACAGTGATCACTCCTTTCACTCCTTTCCCAGACACGTCCAGATAGAACCCCCCTCCTCACTGTATGACTCTGCTCTGGTGATGCTGTGATTTGGAGTGTAGGCTAAACATTCAAGTGTGTCAGTCAGTGAGCTCAGCGGGGGGGATGGAGAGGGAGACAGAAAGAGAGATTGATCCAGAGCTGTGGCCGCTGTGTCTGGGAAGTGGACGATGCTATCTCTATTCCCTATTGGAGCAACATCAGAAGGAGACAGAGGCTCCAGAACATGCCCTAAAGCCTCAATATAAAGGCCCTATAACTGAATGAGTACACTGAATTGGATTCTCAAGGACGTGACCTTCTGACTCGCTGTATGTATGTAAACGCTTAAAGGAACCAATCATGAAAGTCAACACAGGGTTTAAACACATGCATACACTAATATGAAGGAGAAGGAGAGATAGAGAGAGAGTGACAGAGAAACAGAAAGAAACAGACGGAGATAAAAACAGAAAAACAGAGACAGAGAAATAGACATAGAGACATACAGAGAGAAACAGAGAGACAGATACATGTAGACAGAGAAAAAACGGAGAAACATACAGAGAAACAGAAAGAAATACAGAGAGACAGAGATACATACGGAGAGAAAGATAGAGAGACACATACAGAGACAGAGAGAAACAGACAGAGAGAAAGAGATACGGAGAGAGACACATACAGTTAGACAGAGAGACACAGACAGATACAGATACAAAAAGAGGGAGAGAAACAGATACAGAGAGAGATAAACACATACAGAGAGACAGAGAGAGACACAGAAAGAGACATACAGAGTGATGGACAGAGATACAAAAAGACATAGGGAGAAACAGAGAGAGAGAGACACATACAGAGGGAAAAACAGAGATACAGAGAGACACATACAGAGAGAGAGACAGAGTGAAAGAAACAGAGAGTGGGCTAGAGGTGTGAAACAATGAGTGAGTGAGAGAGAGAGAGAGAGAATAAACAACTGACTAAATAATGGGGACATAAAGTTTTAATTCTTACAGTTTCTCAGTTTTTAAACTATCAGTACAGTTAATTCAAATAAACTTTATTTTGCCTCATGTAATCATGTAGATTTATGTAATTCATCTGTATTTTGATAAACATTTATCATGATGTATTATCATTGTCATTATTATGTGTTGTGTGTAAACTGTAGTTGGCCATGAAAAGCCAGAGAGACACAAACATTTAAAAATGAATTCTGATGCACATGGTCTCTTCCATATGACCTTGTTTAAAGCCAGTCTGGAATAAAACTCTGGAATGTTAATAGGGATGAAAAAAAAAGAAAAAAAAACCCTGTGTGGTTACAGCCATTAAAGCTGCTATTATAGCATTAATAATGCTATCCTTTTTTCATGAGAAATAACAGATGCACATAGTTGTATAATCCCAAAAAATATTGCACAAAATAATGCACATACACACAAATACACTCAGTCTTTCTCAAACACACATACAAAGATGCACATATAATAGTCTATGAAGAGCAGTATTTCAGTTAAACTCTGTACTCTCTAGTACTGACAAATAGGCTCTTTGATGCTGGAACAGTTAAACTATAAATATTCAATATTCCACGTCTCCCCTACATTTGCATTTCCCTTGTAGTTCTCTGGATGGAAATATGGGGACTTGAGGTAGTGTAAAAGGTAATCATAGTATGAATACTACAATGGCATGATGATTTTCAGATGCAAAATGCAGAAGAATCATAAACGCATAAAGCAAAAATGACTGCAAGTTCTCAATGATATACATCTTTCTCACAACACTGGTGGAAATAAACAAGATAAATAAATAAGTACATATATGAATATATAAATACATATATGAATACATAAATCATTTAGCAGAAATAGAACCTTATAACATGAATGGACTGTCCTAGACTGAGATTCCTAAAAGTCTGTTAGGCTCAAGATCAACTGCCCTATTAGATATTCAGATGATGTTTATCCCCAGAATGCTTTTGGAAAGATCAGCATTTGCATGGGTGTTTTCATTGTTGTATATGGGATAGTCAAAGGGAAGGACACTTAGAAAATACTACCCCTTCATTTAATACTGTATCAGTTAGACTTTCCATGTCATTGCAAGGTCTAAGTCAAATGTTAAGACTTTGGCTACAAAGGCTTTCTACCTAATTCCCATTATTTTAGATGTACCTGTGAGGGTCAAAATGATATTTTCTTTACAAACAGATCTGAAATATACCGTTCAATTAGCCAAATCAAAACAAAGCATTGTGTAACCAGACAGTATACCATGTCATGCAAAATGTGGAATATGCATGTGTGCATTTTACAAAATGTGCAAGTCATTTCAATGCCAGAAAAAGAATTTTACAACACAAATTTACAGCTGCAGTTCCAAAAACACAAGCTTTGGCATACCAAATGGGCTCATATCACTGTGTCAGTACGTAATCATTTTTATGGACCAATATCTTTTGTTTGCTAGGAAGAAAGCTGTAATGTACAAACCTGTGCATGTACAAAATCAAGCATACAGTTTTATTGCTTAGGTACCGCACGAGTACACATAGAAAGCACATACAAAATGATTGCCATACATTCTTTATCTTATCTCTTTTGTAGTGGAAGTGAGGGGATCGTTCCCTGGTCTTTCAGGCTCTAAGGCAGTTTTGTTAAAAAAAGGAAAGGCCATAGATACTGAGCAGTGCGCCTTGGTCAACAAGGAAGTATGGTTGGGGGCAAGGTCTAGTAGAATAATCAGTCTGTGTCTGATCATTAAGATGATGAGGGTCGGGTGTGTGCAATTGTATGTATTTGTGTGCAACCTGATAAGTGAGATCTGTACTACATGTTCTTTTACAACAATAGATGTCATGATGAATAGCAAGGAGTATATTTGCATCTTTCCCCAGCATATTTCCCTCCTTTGAAAGGGGCATTTTTTATTGGTACAATAACACCCATAATTTTGTTATTACTGTAATGATTTCCTCTTTTTTTTGGAAACTGCTATTTGTTGCATATCCCTACATAATCTCACTGCCAGACATTAGTATTGCAAAAATTGCTAAAAGAACTTGGAAGACACAGTCAATTTGTATACTTGTACAATCAGTCACTCTCATGCACGCTCGTTCAATCATCAGCCAAATATCTATTCCTTCATTTGGCATTATGAGTTGAAAAGTAGTCATTGCACGGTTATAAATGCAGGTAGACAAAGATCCTCTTCTCAGCCATAAAAGTTATTTTTTGTCCATAGATATCACTAGATGATAAAAATAAACGCAGTCTGTACAGTAGACAAGGGTACAGTCTGGTTTCATAAGTTTGATGGGAGTTTGGGGTGTAAGCTTGGCGTCCCTGGACTGGATCTGTCTCTAGACCCAGGGCCTGGTGAGCCACTAGAAGAACCAGTCTGAAGAACTATAGACGCTTTTGAAGTCTGTCTAGATAGGGCCACATGGCCTGGTATTGAACTGTAAGGTTTGGTAACAGGGGTAGGCGAGGGGGTCTTGGAGAAAACTGACGCTGAAACAAGATGGGACTGATCTGGGACATGGGAGACTTGTCTTACCAGTTTGGGTCTCTCAAGAGGTCGTGGAGAAGGGAGTGAAATGGAGATGGTGCTGACGTCCTGAGAGGGGAGATCAACCAGTGACCCACCCCTCTCTCGCGACTGGGAGGGTGGTGGACAGAGGGTCTGAGGGGACAGGAGAGAGCTTTGAGATCCGGAGGTGCTGGAGGGGTTGCTATGAAGGGGCGTCCTCTTCCTTTGCACCAGTGGACTCTGGGATAATGGGCTCCAGGCTGGTGGGGTACTACACGGGGAGGCACTTCCAGACCTGTACTGGGCGAGTGAAGCCAGGGCAGATGGTTCATGGGACAGCTGAGGGAGATAATCAGGCTGGAGACTGCTCTGAGGGTCCTGAGTCTGGGGTTTTGGGGAAGACTGCTCTAAAAGATTCTTTGAGCAAAGTGGAGAGCCGGTAGATGGCGATGGAGTGGCTGTCCTGACTGGCTTGCTTAACTCCTGACTGCGTTTGATTTGAAGAGGATTAGGCTGAGTGGACTGCAGTTGGGTCAATATAGGACTAATGGAGTGGGCTATCAAAGGGGTGAGGGTAGAAGCAGGGGGAATGCCAAAGTGAGCTGCTTCTCCACCTATTGCCCCCTGCTGGAAGAAGCCAGGCAGTGGAGCAGTGATGTTGGAGAAGGAAGCTGGTGGAAACTGAGGTTGGGTGTGGAGCTGAGACACACTAGAGTCTCTAGAAACACAAGCGGTTAGGGGCCTGTGGGATAAGATGGAGGCATCACTGATGCTGGATGTGGTGGTGGTGATTGTGGTTGTGGTAGAAGACGGCAGGGAGCTGGAAGCAGAAGGTGGAAGAGGTGCTGCAGAACTTTTGGCTCTGAGAGAATCCAGAATAGGGGTTTCCACACCAGAGCCAAGCTGAGAACTAGCTCCAGAAGATGTGCCACCCATTGTGGAAGCACCTGAAGCCATAGTTGGCATGGGGAACCTTTTCAGATGACCTGGTGGGTCTTTGAGTGAACTTAGCAAGGGCACAGGAGGTCGGAAGAGGGTGTGGGGCAGATGTGGGTGGCGAGTAAGGGCGATGGCCACTGAGGTGGTGGCAGCAGCAGCTTGGAGAGGAGCCTGGATGAGAGGAGCCCAGATGACTGGGGTGTGTGAGGAAGGAGGTATATGTGGAGCTGGAGGTGGAGTCTGCATTAGGTGGGCACAGTGAGCCATGTCTCTGTCATGCTGCACGATCTGCTGGATGATCTCGTTCTCCTGGTAGTTCAGCACACCTGAGTTGAGATCCCGCTGCACTTTGTGCTGAAGAACAGAGTTTCTTTTTCCTGTAAGGATAAAACAGCAAAAATTACATTATATTATATTATGGCTCTCAAAGTTAATGCATTATTAATGACACAAATGTTTGAATGCCATTAATACATTTTCCTAGTTTGTCCCTTCAAAACTTTCATAGTAGGCCAGGCTGAAGCCCAGCTGCTCATGTTTGTTTGGTTTTTAGGGGTCCAAGCACCACAGGTGCATGGAGCCCTATTGGAATTTATGTTTTATTTTTTCCCAATATGATAAACAAAAGCAAATAATTAGAAATTATGCACTGGAATGTGCAGAAAATGCCATATTTAAATGTGTTCTCTTTAGAGTATGTGTTAATTTATATTCACTTACAAAATCAACAAAACATGGAGTGTTTACATACGACTGAAGCTATAAAAAATGCACTGCTTTGTAACGGAAAGGGCCAAATTTGAGCAAATAAGACAAATGCAATTAATCACAATTAACTACATAAAATAATATGCTATTTTAATCAGCTACAATATATATTGTACATTACACTGAGAACATATAATATTCATATATTTTCTAACTTGGTCCATGGTCTGCTTCAACTGAATATCAACAAAATGTACTGCTGAAAAGCCTAGTGGAGCAGAGTGAGAAATTTATTTCAAAGTGTGTTGACATTACTAAAAAACTAAAAATATTGCTGCTGCTCCTCGGCCTTGACATTTGCTGAAATTTCAACAGAGACGTCTGACATAATCTTTATAGCAGCTTGAAAAAAGTCTTCCACATGATGCTACCTTGAGATTCCATCTTGGCAGTTTCATGACTACAACAGGAAGATTAAAACACAAAAGCACAAACATGTTTGCTCATGCTCTTCAGTTAACTGATGTTTGCCATCTGCTACGAGATGGTGCATTAATATATTTCAGCTGATCACAAGAGAACAGTGCACTTGAAAATGGAGGCACTATTGAGTTGTATGATTCTGAAGGCACATCCTAATAAAACCCTGGTCTTGGATAAAACTGGGGTGAAAAGAAAGGCAATTCTTATCTCTAATCACTGTTTCTGTTTTTATGTGCTCCAAATGGCATTTTCTATTAATGACAGCTCTCACCAATGCGGTCAAGTCGATCGAGAGCTACGGTCTCAAAGGCGCGCCGCATCATGGGGTACTCTTCCAGCACTTCGTTAAAGTGGTCCACAGACAGGGAGTACAAACGGCAGTACGTCTCTGCCCTCACGCTGGCTGTCCTCCTGCCCCGGGTCAGCAAACAGATCTCTGCACAGGATATTAAACATATGAACATCAGCAGGACCATGTGACATGAGGACACACAATAATAATTCAGTGCTTGATTCAGTGAGCAGCAGAGTGATTGAGAGTGTCCAAATGTGTTCACTGAAAGGCCAAAAAGCAAACTCATAGAAGTGGCTTTTTTCCCTTTTTTTCCTTCCTTTTTTTTAGTAAATCCATAACCGGAGCACTAAAATGTCATTTTCAAAGCTTAGAGTTACTAAAGTATGATCCGCTAAGGCAGGTTACAGAAGAAATCACAGAGTAAAGCTCCAAAAAATCACAGAGTAAAGTTGAGGAGGACTTCTAAATGGTGGCGTGGGAGGGAGCGTGGAGGGAAGCCTCAGCTGCACAACACCCGTCAGCTTCAACACTGTAATTGGGGTCCTCAGTTAACCTTTCTTTCCAAAGGGTGCAGCGGGTGACTTCTTCACCATCTGCGGTGCTCGTCCAAAAGACAAAGGCCTGCAGCCGTGCAACTGCAGCGCGCACATGCATGTTAGGAAAATGAGGCGTTTCTTGAAATGAAAAGCTTGCGGTGGTCAGAGCCACAGGTCTGTGATTGATGTTGCTGATTGGTACAAGCTGTATGTTTATGAATAAAAATACAGTAGGGCAATAAATAAGGTGCCTGTGGGCCTTCAGGGCCCTGGAGCAAGATGGAGTGCGGATGTTTGGATAAGATAGGACAGCAGACATGGCCTAAGGGATTACTCTCTCTCTCCATCCGTCACGGCCAGAGTCATAAACAACAAGCAGCCAAGAACCACTCCACACACCCGCTATCACATACATGGAGGGAGGGAGGAGGGACAGAGAGACGGAGACACAGTGAGAGAGAGAGAGAGAGAGAGACAGCGAGAGAGAGAGAGAGAGAGAGAGAGAGAGAGAGAGAGAGAGGTGGGGGAGAAACAGAAAAGGGGGTACATGAAGAGAGAAACAGAGAGAGATAAAGAGGGAAAACGAGAGAGGGAGAGAGGGAGAGAGGGAGAGAAGGAGAGAGGCAGAGAGAGGGGATAAACAAAAAAGGTAGGAGGGGAGAGAGAGAGAGGAAGATGAATAGAGAAGAGGGAAGAGGGAAGAAGAGAGAGTAAAGAGGATAGACAAAGATAGACAGAGAAAGAGGGAGAGGAGTGTACACAGAGAGACAGAGGGGGAAAGAAAGAGGGGAAGGGAGGGAGGGAGAGGGAGTCAATGAGAGCAAGATGGAAGAGAAAGAGATGAGAGAAACAGTGAGTGAGAAAGAGAAGAAAGAGAGAAACAGATAGAGAGACAAAGAGAGAAAGACAGAGAGAGAGGGGAGGAGCAAGGGGAAGAGATAGAGAAAAAAGAGAAAGAGAAGCTGAGAGAGAGAAGAGGGATAGATACAAGAGAGCGAGAAAAAGAGAGAGAAGATAGAGATGCAGAGACACAGGAGAGAAGGAGAGAGGAGACAGAGATATAGAGACACAGAAGAGAGGGACAGAGAGAGGTAAAAGAGAGATAGTGTTAAAGCCTGAGTGAGCTCTGAACTACACCACTATCCAGACTGCTTTCCCTCTCTCTCTCTCTTTCTCTCTGTCTCTCATACATACACACACACACATGCAGGGTTTATGGGGAGAGAGATTATGAGCGGCTTGTTGAACATGTAATGACCTCAAATGAGTCTGGGCAGAAGGAAGGGGTTTTTGCAAAATATGACTTTTTTTCCTTGAATAAATCTGCAGCTCGCTGATAACGGGGTCTACTTAGCTGTGATCCTGAAACCACAGAGGAGACGGTGACAGAGCTTCACACGGCACAGAATGCTAAAAATGAGCCTACGGTACGTTTTCAGAGCAGGTGGGCTACGATTTGCCAGGAAATATTTGTATGAACATCATCCCCTTGAAATAGAGCAGGTTTCTGTATCTGCTACCTTCACCATCTGCAAGGCCTCCGAATTGTCATTTTTACTGCCAAGCACGGCTGCTTTAAAATCCATTCAACGGCTGACATTTAAAATAACTGATGCTTTTCCACACGTACGCTAAAACCTTTGCAGACATTTTAGCTCAGTTTAAAATAATCATAAGTCTGAGCTGTGACGAAAAGCTGCAATGAACAGCCTGATAACAAGTCTCCACATCAGCTATCCATTATCAGCAATTCATTATTTTCCTTTCTCTTCTCTCTTCATCTATTATTTGAATCGTAAGGCTCCCACTGAGCCGTCGTTGCAAGTCCCACTGATCGACAGTTCAGGAAAATTAATTTCATGAATGGCTAACTGATGTTGGGTGAGGAATTTCCCAAGGCTCTTAAAATGCGCTCGTTCGCTGCCTCTGCTCCCCCCCAAGGACTAGCCGATAACACTGCTGGAACACCACAGTACCGGCCTGCGCACTTAAGCTCATTACAACACTGCAGCTAAAAACCACCTAGCTCACTTAAAGAACAGCTCTGCTCAAAACGTTATACATAATGCATAATATGTTGGATCCTACAGTATTTGACTGGAATGCATCATTAAGTGAGCCTGCAGTTCAGACTTCTCTTTGTGACTAGCTGGGTTTTGATGTGTTTGATGCTAATACCCAGGTGTATGTCTATTGGAGTGAATTGAAAAGATGACACATGACTTCATCCACTTCAGATCTAGTGGGCTTAAACTGCTGTAGACAAGGTGTAGGCCAACAACTTCTTCAACACAGTGAGTCATCACATTGTCAGTGCTCCTGTTGAGTACTCTGTAATTGTTGTCCTTTGTTGTTGTTTGTTAGTTTCACTTCTGTGACCTGCTTATTCCAGTGGTTATTGTGAAATCACTTTTGTGACATGCTTAGAACGACTGCGATTTGGTCACCAGTGATGGAATTACACAGTAGAATACAAAATGGAGCATGTTATAGTAAATAACATCACGGCTGTGATTTGGTTGCAGGCACAAGCAGAAGGTGAGCACCACACATCATCACAGCTGTGATAACACAAGATGTGGTGTGTTTTATTGCTTTTATACAACAGTTCTACAAAATAAAGTAAAAAGTACTGAAAAGAAGCCCTGCACATTCAATCAAATGTGCTTTATTATTGGTAATTATTTCCAGCAAAAACAGTATCAGCCTTTTTCTGTACAGATAGAGCCATAAAACCAGTGCAATTTCAGGTTCAGCTCAGTTCAATTTGCCAGATTAACGTGAATGTTGTTTTGCTCCAGACGGTCTGTAGAGCATCTCACAAACCCACCCCTTTTGCTGATTAGTCACTTTATTTCTAGCTAATTCACATTAATTGTTCCACTGCCACAGCTGCCGAGCAAAAAGCTTGTTTAGGGGCAGCGACAGATTTGGAATTTCATGTAGTCCTGCACTCTTTTCCAGAGTCTGATCAAACAGAGTGTGGGTCAAATATTATCTTAGAAATGTTATCTAATGTATCCATTTTCTGTTTTTGAGAAAAAAAGTAAAAAATGTTACGGTTAGCTACAGCATAAAGAGAGTTGTTACTTAGCAACCAGTGCTCAGTGGAATGAAATACAGTTTTTGTGAAAAAGCACTGCTGTTATTTGTGATGGCAGAACTGTAAACTATTATGTAGTTTGTGATCATTTGTGACAACACATTGCATTATTTTAAATTATATTACTTCAAATGAATGTTTTTAATACTGGCCATGACTTCTGCCCAAAAAAGCAGTCGTAATGACCACTGGTGATGCATTCAAGAGTGATGGAAATTCCAGGTGTAAACAGTTACACATCTCACTGTACTCTTGAGATCAGCTCACTGGAGACGGACCAGGTAGGAACAGGCCTTGCAGTAAAGTGACCACTGTTGTTACTTGGCAACCAAAAATCAAGTGATACAAGTATGTAATGTTGGGCAACAAAACACTATTTATCGTTATCATGATTAAATACATCACAATATGTCACAATATGCTTTTCTGAGTATTTTGCGGTTATCATCAGTACTTAAAAACACTTCACCGACTGCATGTTTGATTACAAAGAAAGCATGATTAGTCCTGTTTAATTGGATTTAGTACAGCTCAGTATGTTACTAGTGAAATGCAAATCACTGTTTTCATAGTTTTTGCTGCATTTTTCAAATAGGGTCCTACTTTATCTGTTACAACTGATTAGACGTCAGAAACAATAAATACTGTGACATATTGTGCATCGTAAAATCTTAAAGTATTGCAATATTACTTTTTTGCCATGTCGCCCACCTCTGCAAATATGGTAGTAAAAAAGTGCAGTTATCAGATATAACAACATGTGTAGAGTGCTTTTCAACCAATCAGACTGTCTGGTCTGAACTAATTGTTGTTTATATGTGAGCTTACGCATTTAAGTAAAACGCTGGAAGCCTCTCCTTTAAAGCCACAGCCTAATGCACCTAATCTTCAGGGTCATAGGTTAAAGGATTTGAGCCCCAGTCCCTTATGAACTTTCAATCACAGCTGAGCTCTAACTGCAGTAGCTACTGACCTCCAAAGTAAGATCCATCTGAAATCTTTGTTTCTTTGCTGCCCTTGGTCAGAACTGTTAGCACCCCATGCTGGATGAAATACATCTTCTTGCCCACAGTGCCTTCTCGAATGATGTAGTCTCCCGGCTGGAAGACCTCAAAGCGTAACTTGGTTAGCATGGAGGTCACAAAGTTGGGATCCGCATTGGCGAACAGGGGCATGGTGGCCACCAGCTTTCGACAGTTAAAACTGATGATCTCCTTTAAGAGGAAGGAAAAAGCAGAAAGACATACATTTTGAGTAGACTGCTAGCATCACTGAGGACTAAAGGTTTAAATCTTGGGCCTCACAATTTGCCTAGGAAAAGATTCAAAGCACCATGAAACACCACGATCTGAATCTATTACATTATTTTGGTATGATTCATAGCTTTTTTAATTCTCTGAATATGCACAGTAGTGGAATAAAGACAATAAAAACAATACACTATGGGCTGAAAACCGATATTATTGAACAACTCTGGTACATGAGATCCGCTCTCAGGTTGAGAGTAAAATGGACAGATTTGTCCAGAAGAAGTGTGTCAATGCATCAGTTTGGCAATATTTTGGTTTTCAACCAAATGAACCCAGAGAAACACTGGATGTTATGCAGAATATAGTTATCATTCTAAATTACTAGTAGTATTAGAAGCTCACCTAATTGGTAAATGTATAGTAATCACATTACCATCAGGGAAAATGCAAGCCATAGAGTAAGGCTCTGTGATGCTCACATGTGGTATTTCATAACTGAATTTGGATCAGGCTGACCTTGTTTATCACAATAATTCTGCAGATGATAAATGTTATTGTACATTACTGTCCAAGCTTAAAATACATTTTTATTTTTATTTATTTTTTGACAACAAAATGGGGGAATAATTCATTTAAAAATCCTCATGATCATTTACCGAATGAATAAATACAAAAGTGAAGCAGATGAATTACCACTTTCAGATCGATGCCTCACAATACACTGATGCAATACTTCTGAGGCCACATATGTACAGTGTGTAATGTGTGAAGACCTCACCTCTCTGAGTGGCTCATTCAGCTCCCCAAGAATGCTCTCCTCATCAAACATCTTGCCCTGGTAACGGTGCTCGTAGTAGTCATGGATCCTTTGGCGCATGTCTGCAGGAAGCTTGTGGAAGGACATGTACTGCTCCACCTGTTTGTACTGTAGGCCAAAGAAAATACTAGTCGTGAGACGACATCTGAATAGGCAAAACAGAATCTTAAACTGCACAGAAGGTGCGAGTTCCACAGCTACACTGTTTACTAATAAATCAACATTGACTAATGCTCTAATACCAAAACAGATTGAGGCGTGTAGGAAGTGAGAGACATGTTTATGTGGCTTTCCCATATTGCTCCTGAAATCAGCGACCCAGTCTCTCTCTCTCTCTCTCTCTCTCTCTCTCTGCCTCTTTGACTTCTAGGAAGGGCATATAGTATTGATAGGGTTTGTTTCACCCACTCTCTCCTCTTGCTGTCTCTTTTGTTATTTTATTCATGTCTCTGTGTAAGGCAGAGCGTTTGCAGCCCTGAAACGTTCAGCCCTCCTCCGTACCTCCTCCTCCTCACTCTGCCCTTCTCTCTGCGCCGTTTCTCTCTCTCTCTAACTTACAAACTTCCCACACAGAACAAACACCTTTTTCCCTATTCTCTCTTTCCTGTCCCTTCTCTCCCTCTCATAATAAGCAACCCCCTCCGACCCTACCCCCCCTCAGTTCCCTCCCTCCTCTGAACTCCTGTCCTGACTGTCGACTGCAGCCTGGCTCCACCGTGCCCTTCACCACATGCTAATGCTCCTGCCATATCAGCTGTGACTGTTTCAGCAGCGCTGTATGCAGCCCTGCCGCCTGCCCACATGTACCACCGCCGATTCTCCAAATGGGCCCGCCATTATCATATTCAAGGACAGGAGACAAAGCCGGCAGGGATGACTCCAGACAACAGGAAATAATGTCAGACAATACAGTTGGGCTCCACTGCGGAGAGCAGAGAGTGGGGGGGAGTGGAGCCACATACAAAACTGTCAGGATAAAGTAGGCTAAGCATGAGTCATGGTGTCAGAAAAAAGAGGAAAAAAATATGAGTGTCATTGGAATTTGTCCTTTTCAGGAAATGAATAATGCTGTTGTCAGCAGGTTACTGGTAATCGCATTGCCATCAAAGAAGGATATCCAATCAAAGTGTGAAAAAGCCTGGCTACAGCAGGTAATGAAATAAATGACTAACTTTGCTAAGCATTAGGCCACTGTTGAAGCCTCACTAACCCCTGCAGCTCTCTCTCACTCTCTGCCTCTCTCTTCCTTTCCCTTGAGCCTTCAGTGCTGGAGAAGAGTGAATTCTGCATTCTGACACCAGAATCAAAGTCATCGGTGTGCGAGCACCGTCTCAGAACAAGAACAAGAACATCCTTCTCCTTCTGCAGGAAACGAAACGTAAAGAAAAAGAAGCCAGTGTCACACGATATTGTGCCACGATACTTCACGAAGCGTGCTTAGAGGACAGCACATCAGGCGAGCTGAAGAATCCACAAGGAAACCGCTGCAGCTCCATCAATAAAACCGTCCTGTATCAACAATGCACGTTGCCATAGCAACTGCAGCAGGGCTGAATTGACTCGAGTCTTTTGACACAGCAGAGGTCAAAGCTCTTGTGTCGCCTTCTCATTAAAAATGGCAACAGTTCAATTAACACTCCAAGTGTACTGGGCATGGAAGACAAAACACTGCGCATTGATCACCATGGAGGTCATCAAACAAATGTGACTATAGGAACCAACATAACTTTAGATTTTAGCTGTTTGCTACACATATTGTTTTATATTATATTTCTGCCTGTGAGCAATTAGACAACTTTGACTTTTATGACAAGTATTGTGTCGCAAATTTCACGATACAGTATGCATTGTGGCTTTTGCACCAAGATCATTTTCGATAGTAAAAAAGAATTGCCAGCTTTAATTTTGCTTTATTTTTTGTACAATTGCCAAAACAAGATGTCTGGTGAAAATCAACACAAGTAACACAAACAAGTCATTCTCACAAATAAATGTGAATGTGAGTGTAAATGGTTTCAAATGATAAATGGGAGTTTTTGTCTTACTTTTGTAGTTGTCTCTTTTAGGAATATCATGGAGTAAAAGAACATAAAAGAACAGTGGAAAGCATTTCAGTTTCTGTCACATCAGAAATGTTTTATATATATATTTTTTATTTTATAGCACGAAATCTAACTTTCTTTTCATAGAGCACACTGCCCCAACCCCTGTATAAATGTACATAAAAGGGGAAACTGCTGATAATTTCTGCATAATTCAAAAGTTGAGATGTAAACAGTCATTCAGAGAGGTCTGATGTGAAACAATGTATTGTAGAGAAACTTCAGCTTCTCATTGCTTTTAGTAGCATCACACTCTTCAGGTTCCTATGTTTGGGTTTGCATCATCACCATGAACAATTCTGCTTGAATAAATTTCTCTAGAACAGAGTATTTCACAATAACCCACTCTAAATGGCTTTATTTACATTTCAGCCATTTAATTATGCAGAAATTTTGAAAGAACTGTGAAATTTCCCTTCAAATATGTGTATCCTAACAGCCCCTATAAAACACATGATCAGTAGCTGTTGCTTGTAATATCTTTTGCTTTGTTCGATTGCATTTTCTTTTAAGATGAATATTATAAACTTCTCGTTTCCTTCACTAACCTTCTCTTGGTATTGCCTTCGTGAGGAGTCCAGTGATTGAATGAGGGCAGTGGCATGACCCACAAACATGGCGTAGCAGGTGGCACCTACGATCATGCTGAGGATGGTCAGCCAAACGTCCGTCATGCCTACGGGTGGGTACATGCCATAGCCAATACACAGCATGTGGCTCATGGCCTTAAACAGAGCATAAGAGTACTGCTGACCCCACGTATCATTCTGCAGAGGAGGAGAGAGAGAGAAAGAGAGAGAGAAAAAGTTACAAGAGAGAGCGGGGGAGTAGAAGAGAGTGAGAGGGGGAGGAGAGAAAAATGCACAGATGAAAGAAGAACACAAATAATTTATGCGCACCATTTTAAATGTGAAAGACAGCGAGTGCAGAAACAAATGCAGGATAAATGAGGAATAGATACCATGGAAAACACAACAGAAAGAAAGAAAGAGAGGGATAGAGACACATAGATAGATAAACAGATAGATAGAGAGAGAGGGAGAGAGAGAGAGTTTGTTCTTTGCTGACAGGACTCTAGAAGAGCAGAAAGGGCAGTAAGAAAGTGAAATATCATGTCTTCACTGACAGCAGAAGGAGGCATTACATGTGCTTCAAGTGATTTTGGGACGGATGATCTCCAGAAAGAAAGGGAAGGAAATGTAAGATTTTGCTTTAGGACTGTTTTCAAGCATTTCGGAAATCAAAACTAGAGGTTGTATTTAACACATTGTTGCTGTCATAAGAAAACCTCACATCTCTTTTGTTACACATTTGTTAGTTCAGACCACGTCCTCAACCTGGTTCTAGAATAAGAAGAGATTGTGGGACTGTAGGAAATGAGAGGACACTGAGAACTTGGCTTGAAGTTCTTTGCTGGCTTCTGCTTAATGGTGGACCCCTCTAGACCCCCTCTGATGAACAGAGACAGGACTAAGAGATGTGAGTGAAAGACAGGGAGGAGATGAAGAGATGGTGGGATGCAAAAACATCATAGGGAGCACATACAGTAGATGTGGACATCTGTAGTAAGTAAAATAGGAGAGAGGGGGAGCTTCAGGTAACCCCATTTTGGGAATGCCAGCTGCCCTTTACCTTGTCTACACATTTCAAAACAAATGTACCAAAAACTTTTCTGAGAAGCAAACCATTTTAAAGTTATATTATCAGACATTTTTTTTTCTTTTATACTGTTACACAAGGTTTTCTTATGACAGTGACAATACTGGAATTCACACAGAACTGGGCAAAAGCCATAGAATTTCCAGTCAAAACAGCCGTTAAGTACCATCAAATAACTTAAGCCATTAAGTTATTCATTTTTCTGGAGATATTGCTGAGGAGATTAGATATTAGATAATCCACTTGCATAAGGAAGTGGAAAGTCAGAGGAAAATAAATGAAAAAACTGAAGTTTGAAAAAAAAAGGATTAAAAGAAAATGGGACTCCTAACAACCGAGCAAGACCTGGTAGACCACCAAAACCGCCACCATTAGATAAACAGAAAGCTTTCATCTTTGTGAGAGAGGAGAAAATCAAGCTCCACTCTTACTACAGATCTGAAAAAATCCACAGGTGTTTCTGTCCATCCTTCCACTGTGAGAAGAAAACTCAACACTATGAGTCCGAAAGGATGCGCAGCTGTTAAGAAGACGTAACAGAGAAAAGGAAATAAACAAAAAAGAAGAAAACAAATATGCTGCTAGTGTTCTCAGAACAGTGGACTGACCACCCCAGAGTCGAGACCTTAACATCTCTAAAAGTGTTTGGGATTATTTGGATTGTGAAAAGCAGAAAATGCAACCAACTTCTAAAACTGAACTTTAAAGTTGTCAAAAAATACCGCTAAGAGTGGACACACTAAATACTGAAAACTATATATTTAGCTGTTCCATATAATTTTCTGGTTTTTCTGCTTTTTCCTGATGCAGAAAAATAATAAATATTCATACCTAATGACATTTTGATCAGAAATTAAACACATAAGGGGGTCTCTGTCTCTGTCTTTGCACAGTGCTTTATTTTAGAAATGTGAGTTTAACATGTATGTGGTACCAGGTTTGAGAGTTTGTTTAGCCTGATGTTCCAAAACGCCTGATTTGAAACAAGAGCTAATGACTAAACTCTTTATAACCTGAAACCAGTGAACTAGGAGTAGTGAAACATCAGATTTTGGAAAAACAAGACATTTTTATCCTAAAGTGTAAGTGTCAGTGCAGCACAGTGATAATATAATCTGATGAGGGTCCACGGCTGCTACTTACCACCATTTTGTTTTTAGAAACCCAGCAGTCGGAAGGAAAATCCTGCAGCATGGGCACGAGGAACTGCAGGCAGCCGTCCCAGTGGCACAGCAACAGCATCATGCCAATCAAGTTGACTATACGCACCATAGCGCTGGCCAGGTCGTAGGTCATGTGGAAAATCTAAGGGAACGGAAGAATGGGATAGAGATTGCGATTGTGACGACAGAACCGCAGTATGCTGCGGGTCACATTTAAGGCTTAATCCAAGCTCTGTTCTGGGCCACGCCGCTCTTAAGCTGGTTTAGGCTAGAGAATGCTCGTGGATGTGACGTGTTACATAATGTACTGTATATCTGTTCTGCTAATGTTACTAATGGTCCGTAGGAGATCAGTGACACAGGAAAAAAGATCGGCTAGATACGTGGCGTTTAATACAATCCACGCAGACAGTGATGTATCGCCCTCTCTCCCTCGCATAGATTTCCTTTACTTCATGAGCTTTTGGGCTGATGAGCCTGATTGATCTGGACAATTAAAATGTCAAAGTGCAGGCGTTTAACAATGGTCAAAGCCAGGGATGGGGGCTGGAAAAGTGAGGCTTGGTTTTGTAAAGCTTTTGTTAAAAGCTGTGTTAAGAGCTTAGTTTTTTTTTTTCAAAGCCTTAACTGTACTTAAGAGATTCACTTTTTTCCCAATTCAGCTCTGTTTATGTAGCACATTAAACAACAGTCATTGTCATGAAGCAGCTTTACAAATGCCTGTGTCCAAGGCCTTGTTGTATAAAGGAGCATATATTTGCATTAAAAGACCTTAAGTTCTGTCTAACACATTTTCTTAATTTTTCAGTAAGCTTGTCACATACCTTAAGCGTGCACTTGCTTTAACCCTTTTTCACAATAGCCAGAAAAGACATTTTCTGTCTGCATTTTTTTCTCTTCAGTAACACTGGTGGAATATATTTGTATGATGGAAATCTCTATGATTTACAAAACTGGGAGCAAACTGGGTTTTTGTTTTCATAGCTGAGCAAACAAGTCAACACTTATGACAGTGCTTTAATTGTGTTTAAATGCTATTTTTTGTTATGGCAGTTGTACATGATTGTTTGATATGAAAAATCTGCAATTTCACCCTTCATTGCTCACTAGTAGCTCAACACAGTCATAATGTTTCACACACTGAGAACCTACAGATTATAGACAAAACAGATATAATTTGATTGATTTAATTTCATTAAAAATATCCATGTCGTCTTTCTTTCTGCCAGTCAAATGGCCACTAGGGGGCCTGCCGACAGAGGCTAGTAAACTCTTAAAATAAACTATACAAGTGCCTTCAGTCGGATTTTTCAAAGTATGATCGGATGATGATGATGTTCGCATTGTAAATGAAACAAGTGAAGAGAAAACATTGCACAAATTATAAGTTCTTTAGTCTTTTTTGTTAATATTGCTTAACTGCAATAATTAGCACATAAAAACATAGCCTGAAAACAAGCCATCTCCACACCAGCAATCAAACTATGTATTTAACAGTGACAATGATCAGAGAAATCTGCAGTATAACCTAATGAAAACATTTAAGATAATTTATGCAACATTTTCATTTCAATTCCCTACACTGTCAGAAATAAAGGTTCTGTGCGGGTACATTTTTTGTTCATCAAGGTACAAACAATGTAAATGTTCCTCAAAGGTACAACAGTGGTTTTAAGGTCTGATTGTGTACCTTAAATAAGTTTTACAAGTAATACAATGGATTATGGTACAGGTATGTTCCCTGACTAAAGGTACTGAGATGTACCCTGAGGGTACCACCCCAGTGACAAAAGGGGTACTGCCCCAGTGACCATTTCATACCTTTTTTTCTGAGAGTGTACGTGAAGGAAATCTAACCCTTCAGGAAATAACTAAACTTGTTTTATTTAACCAGGCACAGACTTACAGTGGCAAAGAAAAACACATTGTGAGGAACCAAGACTCTTGGATTGGATCCACTAAATTTTCTTCTTTCTTGTTAGCGTCATTATTATAATAAAAGGTTGAGTTTGTTCTAGCAGTATTCAAACTTGCGTTAGCAGGTAGTAGCAGTACCTACCTCTTCCCACTGATGTATGTATCTGATGAGGCGGGACAGTCGCAGCAGTCTGAGCAGACTGAGGATTTTGGTAAAGCGGACGATCCTCAGAGCTCTGGCCGTCTTGTAGAAGTCTGAGTCGATCCGTGTCTCAACAATAAGGAAGATATAATCCACAGGGATGGAGGAGATGAAGTCCACAGCAAACCAGCTCCGCAGGTACCTCACCTTTATCAGCTGAGGGTCCAGAATAATCTCTGTACTGTCCTCCTTCACAATACCAGTCCGGAAGTTCAGGACCAGGTCCACTAGGAAGAAGGTGTCAGAGACCACGTTAAAGACGATCCAGGCTGGAGTGTGCTCGTCCTTGAAGAAGGTGATGCCCACTGGGATGATGATCAGATTTCCCACCATCAAGAGCAGCATTATCAGGTCCCAGTAGAACCTGGACAAGACAAAGACAGCAACTGTGAAAATGCATCAAAATAAGGCGATGCTTTAAGGGAGCAGGTTTAGAACTCCACTGGGACAAAACGACCCACATTGCCAGACAGAAAATGTTAATTGGTGTTTTCTTTCATATACTATTGTTTTATAAACCATCTTAAAGGATCCAAGTCATGGAGATCTGAAATTTCTTTGCTTTTTTGAAATAAAAGAGTTTGATGTAGTATGTAAACATTCTTAAAGATACAAAGCACATCAAACGCTCCCCATATAGTTTACTGTCTAATGTTTTTTGGTATATATCATGATATTATGTATTTCTTTTTCAAATATAACCATTATGGATGCTTAAGTAAACCTTTTTGGTAGATTAATGCTCTGATTATTTTTGAAGTCAGTTTGACCCCATTCAATGTTTAACATCTCTAAATAAATGATTAGCAATTTTATTTTCCCAATAAACTAAGTACTTGTTGACACATAACCTTGAGTAGCAATTTTAATAATAATCATTTCCTGAAGGCTTAAATTGCTGCAGTCAAATTGACCCCATGGATAAAGATATTAGTGTATTTGAATATAACAGGAGGGTTAACAATGGCGTATTATTCTGGATGTCCCTTGTCCTTTAATAAGAACCATATTTAACAACTGAAGTAAATATAAAATATTTTTATTGGGTGAAAAAGTAAAAACAGAAATTAGCAATATATAGACAGACGTTAATATTGCTTTCTAATGAGATACAGGTGAGTGTATGAAAAGCCCACAGAAGCTTCTCTGAGGCCAGCAGAAACAGTCCTGAACGTTGTTTTGCGTTCGGAAGTCATTTGTCTCTGTCTCTTAGACTCGAGCTTTAATCTACAAGCATCAGATGCTGTTGGAATTTAGTAAATATTACAAGCCCTCCGGTTTGTATCCTGAGACTGCGACATTGCCTGAAGCAGCTGGCTGAGCGAGGGGCGCCACAGGCAGCGTACACAGAAAGCCAGCTAGTCTCCATGCTAGGCTAATGGCTAACAGCTAACCCCAAGAGACTGGCTTTTTACTTCCACTCTCTTTCCTCTCCGTCAACTCATCATCTCGTTACAGTCTGATGTCTGCTCCTTTGACAATAAACTGGACTAACTTACCTCAGGCTGCAACTTACTACACGAGAGGTGAGGAAATCAGCGTGTTTAGTACTGGTTGTATGTTGTGTTATCTGCATTTAACTTGATTTGCATACTGGTATAATGGTAATGACAAAACTAATATCCTTAAAAAGAATTTCAATCTGTATATCGTCCACTACTAATTGAAGCTAAGCTGCAAATACAGCCCATTTTCAACTCAAGTGTTTTTGTGATATTATGGAAATGAATGCATTTACATCTGCCTACAGCAGTTTAGCCCCGCACATTCACGGTTTTTAAACAACGCACAATACAGATCAGCCAATCAGAACAGACGTCATTTACATACATCCGTATAAAAGGCTGCACAGTAACAACAGAAGACTGTTTAATTCAAAGACATAAAGGCAGGATTAAAATCGTCATGTAAAAATGAATTATGATTTTTTTTGGAACATAAACCCACTCAAATGTCATAAGTAGACCCCAGAGGAAGAATAAAACACAAGACAAATGTAGGATATGGGAGTTTTAAAGTGATTTTGGAAGCTCATTACTTACATATAACTGGCCCAAAAGGAGAAAAGTAGGTGAGAAAGTAATGATTAAAATATTACAATCATGTTTAAAAATGCTGAGCATTAACCGGTCTCTAAACCGCTCTAGGAGACCAGACACTGCCTGAAGATGGAAGTTGGCAGCTTGGCCTTGTCATTATTCCGCTATCGTTTGCACTAAATTCTCCCCTCAGTAACTGAATGTACAGGGCATATGTAAATTAAAGACATTTAAGCCGACCAGGAGACCTCAGGCAAGCCTGCCGTTTCATCATTAAAAGATCTGCTGCTGGGTGAAACATTTACAAGAAAGACAGTGTAATTGCTGTTCCCCAGCATTAATTACCTCACTGGCCTTGACAGGCCTCCAAGATTTTAAGCTCTTTGGTTTCCTCAGCTCATGAGTCACACAAAGTGATAAACATCCTGATACTTTGACATTTCATGTCTCTATTTCCCTCCCTTTTGCTCAGTGGCCTCTAATGCACCCTTAGTAGTTAGAAGGTAACCATAACATAGCTTAGAAAAAGAGTGGAGTGCAAATTCATTTTGGTATGTACACAGTGTTGAAGTCCTTAATTACCCTTGCTCACTTCTATCTTGAGAGCACCCGCCGGTTTTCTTTTCGACTCATATGTGTGAATAGTAAATTCTAGTCCAGCGCTCTGCTGTAATTAAGCAGGCATCGATCACACGCAGGGTTAGATATGCTCTATAGACCAGTATGGATTGCAGTGAGAGAAAGCAATGCGCAGCATTTTGAAACAATCCGGTGGGGATTATCAATCCATCCCAATCAAAAATGTAAAAATCCTATTAGAGGTTTAACTCGGATAAATGCTTAATAAAAATGACACCACGCACGCAACCCCTGAAACATTCTACAGGCACCTGCTATTTGCAAGAAAAGGCTAGTGCAAAGAGTGAACGTTCAAAAATATCTGGTCAAATCTGCTTTTCCTCCACAGGGATCTACAAAACTGTAATCACACTGGAAATATTAGTTAACAGTAATGTTCAGCTGGTGCGGGCAATCTTCACATATGCATCCATCAGGACAACCAACTGTTATTTACCATACTTTAAATACTCTAAAGTACTAATGCTAATGCATGCTCTCTGTGCTCCATTAAATAATACCACACCACTTTTTCGACCATTTGGCTCTGCCAGAGCTGCGTTCTTTCCAGCACTGCTTGAATTGAGCTTTGGAGGAGATTACCCAAGAACAAACCATCTATACAAAGTGTCAGTAAAGCTGTCAGCTTATTCTCAGTTTTCAGATTATAAAGGATTTGCCATTGACATTTGCCCTCTGGCAGATGCTACAGTGGTCAGAACAGTCCGTAGAAAGAGAACAAGTGAAACAGTAATTGTGCAGAAACGTTTTACCGGAAAAATTGCACATTAATATGTCATTTTTAGTAAGCATGACCAAACATTCTGCTTTGTGCAAACAGGTGGACAGACAATGAAACTCTCTTTTTCAAGCCAGCGCTTTATGAACAATATCATTCAGTCCTCAAACCTGTAACCTAAAGAGAAATCTATGTTTCTGTATGACCATATGGGGATCAAAGAGAATTATACTTCATGCATTCAGTTATAATATATTCAGTATAATCTAATCACAGTCAATCACACCAATTTTCTTTTGAATAGTTTGTCTTTTTTAACTGCGTATTTATATGTGTAAATATAGTTGTTTGACCATAGCTGCATGTTTTTATTTGACTTTTTATCTCTTTTGTTTTGATATGTCTTTTTGTGCATAGAGCTCCATGAGACCATCTGTGGTCTGCATCATATAACTATCTAAAAATCTCTTCATTATGCTTATATAGACAATACTACACCGACAGTTACCATATACAGCAGTCTACTGTTAACACCACACATCCCAGCTTTTCAATACAAGCTATAAACTTGACAAAGGAGGTACAACCATTTCTTTATGAGAAGCACTACATCATGTCATGAGAAAACCCGCAGGAGAATGAAGTTACTACAGCTATGAGCTTATGGAAAGTGTCACATATCTCGTTACTCTATACTCTGCAGTCACTATAAAAGGAATGATCAAAAATATCCAATCACATTACAGCATGTAAACCTTCTGCAAAGTGATATACTGTCAGTAATCTGAGGACTTCAGCAGCATCACCACATCTCACTATGAAAACTATGCAAACCTGTCACCACGTCTGTCAACTACAATTGACATTAGAATGAATTTCAGTGCCTGACCTTTACAGTCACATAAAACTCAATCAAATAAATGTTAAAACACTGCTGATTCTGCTGATTTGAAAATATATAGAGAAATTTAACACAACCGTAGAAACGTAAGTCTACTACCTGCACTCAGGTCCTCATAAAGTACATGAATAGTGCTGTCGGAGTACGTAAATGTCTCTTTTTAGCAGTCATACTAGTCTTGAATTCAGTGACATCCAGAAGACTTACTGAACTGCTCCAACTATCCAAACTGGAGTATATCTTCACTGTCATGCAAAAACCTTATCTGTGTTTTTTTGTTGTTTTTACTGTTTTGCATTAATCTGTATGATTCCACTGACCACTGATTACTATATGTAATAACAATGATAGCTTTACTGTAAGCTGCTGCTAACCATTAACCACACTTTAAATTGATGTATTAGAAAAGATCATTTTTAATTTGCAGTCTTTTGGTCAGATCTGGAAGAAGAGTGTGACATTAGTAGGTCAAATTTTGAACCTGTTGTTACCGATAACTTTGGTTGTCTTTGTTGTCCTCTAGAAGAACTGCATTTTATTAGAAGAAATTGTCAGTATTGAAATCATATTGTTGCTTGTCTAAAAAAATAATAAACAAAACAACAACAAAAACTCCACTTTTTCCAACTTCATTTGAACACAGTTCAAATATAGTCCTATACACGTTCAGTTCAAACTGTCCTATACATGCTGTCAAATTTCATGAATAATGGACCAATAGAAATGCTCCAAATTACTTGGAATGAAATTTAACACAAACCTGCATTAAAATAAGTTAACTTACATTCTCTTGTAAAGTTACAAATTTGGAGATACATGTTTTCTTTTGGAAAACAATGATATTTAAAACAGTTTTCAGGGCTTCTTTGCTTAATTATTTTCTTTACTTTGCAAAACTGAAAAACACTCGAGGTCATGTGTTATTGCAAACAACATGACAGCTGTGATGATCTTCAGCACTATGACCAAATCGTAGGCATGACATACTCCCTGTTGTGCTCTACTGCTTCCACACAAAAGCTTTCTTCTAACAATCCAGTTAATAAATGGCTACATAAAATCACTGT